GCAGCATACATCCTTGTACATTTGCCATACCTTAACCTGTATTCTCAAACCTGCTCTAGTTTATTACAGCTCCCTCAATCATCCCTTCTCAGTACACATGCAAACCCACTTGACGTGCCAAGCAGCTGCTACCTACCCACTGCTACCCAGTAATTGCATTTCTGGGCATGTGTACGTAATACCTTGTAAAGCACTTTGACTTTTTTCTTCGATTTCAAGAAACTATATAGGCATGAAATATTGTCGTCTGGAACTCAGCACACAGGATGTGGAAGCAGTTTTTTAGGTTTTCAGAACTTCTCCGTTCTTACACATGCAGCCAAAGCGACAACATTCTTGTAATGGAAGTGTCTACAAGGGCTATACGAAATGTTGTGTTTAATGTGCTTTGTATGTAAATCTAATTAATCCATTTGTTACTATCTCCGATTTAAAGCAGTAACAGCTAGGAACAGCCTTTCAAAGTGTTTAAAGAAATTACAAATGGTACCTAGGCTTTTCAGTAATAATTTATCATCATGGATATTCACATAAGGTACCAAAATACTTCCTTATCTCTGGAACAGAAAAGAAAGGTAATCTTCCTTAAAAAAGAGACAAGACAGATGAATGACTCTGAACTTGGGCAGTCTTCCGTAGGAAGCTGATGTTCACATCCTGACAGTGATCTGATAGGAGCCCAAGTCAGCTACCAGATCAGTGGTGCTCAGCTGATTCACAGTTATCTGAAATGCCTAAGGTCCAGGCTCTGCTGCTTTGTTTTCACACTGCTCACAATCCAGTATATCTCATCGCAAGAGTAGTTCTCTCATGGTCCGTCTGGATGGTACTTTTACCTAAATATTCTTCTTTCTGTAACCTTAAATATTTCAATTTTCCTTACTGCTTATCCTGCAAATAGAAGTAGCTTTTTATTGTACTCTAGTCATCTCTCAGCCCCGTTACACACATTTACCTCTTTCATTCATCCAGAGAAGTCTGTCCCTCAAGCACAACAGGCATTTCTCTTCTTTGCAGAAGTCTCTGAGATTGTCCATATATACACTCTGATGAGGTCCCTGGGACAGATTGCCTAATTCCTAGTGCAGCCTTCCTAAAAAAACAGAAGTATACAAAATACTACTTCCCTGTTTCAGTAAAAATGTCTCTCCACATACAGCACAGAATTTGGTATTGGCTTGTTTTTCCCCAGACACGGTACCCTCCAACTTGTGTTCAGTTTGCTTTCCACAGATGCTTTTTGTTCTCTTTCAGTTTTAGCACTGTCTGAATTTTACACTCATTCAGTATTCAGCTACGTCCTTGGTTTGCTGTGGAAATCATGATTAATCTCTCTAAGATCTGTGAAGTGACCTCAGCAAAAAATTGGTGCAAGTGAGAGGAGAATCAGAGCCTCTGTGGTTCAGTCCTCTGAATGTCTTTTTTCTGCTTATGCTTCTGCTCTTTTACTCTCTATGTATAGTTACTGACACCAACAAGAACTCCAGTTTAATCTCTTCAGATTTCATTAATGTACAGATTTTTTCATACTTGTATAACACTAATGATCATAAATCAAGCCCAACATTTATGTTGTCTGTACACTAAGAAGGTAAAGGTAATGGTTTTTGCCACACATTATATCTGACCTTTTGTGGTTTGGGTTTTTTTTTTTAAACATTTCTTTTTGTGCCCACTTTAACTAGCCCTCATTAACTCTACATTTGACATTTTTAATATAAATGTATTTTTTTACCTTGATCTTTGATCTTTAGCTAGTCTTGTAGAAAACCACAGTGACCACATTTGTTCCTTACTTTCTTCTCCTTGGAAATTGTACACAGCTAAGTTTGAATTATTCTGAGGGTTTTTAGCATTGTTGGCTCTTCCTTTGCTCAGTTGTTAATGTTAGATTTTGACTATCTATTCTCTGCCCACAAAGGTTTTAGATCAGTCCTTTATTTTTTTCAGTAATCAAATTTGTTGTTTTCTCTTATTCACTTTAAATCATACTCCTAAAAGGCTACACCTCTCTCCCCGTTGCTGGTTTTGTTTGGGGGGTGGGCGGTGGGTTTGGGGGGGGTGGGTGTTGGTCTGGGGTTGGTTTGTTGTTGTTTTTTTTTTTTAATTGGGGGGAGTAGAAAATTTGCTCTCCTTTCTCTTAAACATGATATTATTTGGAATTTTCTTTTAAGGCAGGATGCAGCATCCTGGGGGATTCTGCTGGAAAGGCTTTCAAAAAATACATATAAAACATCCAAATAAGTTAATTTGCAGAGAGGCATTGATTGAATGAATCTGTGATTGTTCTGCCGATTTTGAAGAGCCATTTAGCAATTCCTCCATTTAGGAAGCTGAGTGGCTAAGATGTCCCTACATTGTCTGTTTTGTGTGTGTTTGTTCTGAATGGCCGTATGAGGGCTGATTGTTTTAAATCTCAGTTAATAGGGTTTTAAAATTTGACAGAAGGTCCCCAACTACTTCACAAGAAAATGCGTTTTGCTGTTTTTGTGAAGACCTGCCTGTATTTGGTACAAACATAGACCTCCAAAATCTGTAGTTTTCCTTTGTCTGTTGGAGCTCGGTGGCTAAAATCGCAGAAGATGCCTTCGGCAGAAACCCTGCCCATTGCTGCACCGCGTGGGCCCTGCCGTGTGGACCACAGAACAGCTACCATGGCATGATGCCGCAACTCTGGGCTGAGAAGCGCTTCCTCTGCAGCAATCTTGCCCTAAGAAATTAAAAAACTGGGCACCAGAACAGGCAACAGAGCTATTCCATGCTGTCCATGCTCTCTTGCCTGGGAAATAACGAAAAGGAGGAGGCAACCTATGAAGAGGTGGATCATAGTGAAGTTAGGGAATGTGGGACATAAAAGGAAATCAATATGCATGAGAATTGATGGGACTTGTTTGTGTATGCACATATACATCCATACATACAAATATATGCATACGTTTTGTATATATATATGAAGAGGCATGGGACAGGACTGGATAGAAGCAGAGGGAGAAGGCCAGAGTCCGCCCAAGACTTAACCATGCAAGCAAAATTGAGGAAGGGTCAGTCTATGTCTTCAGGAACATATGACAAGTATGTTCTAAGAAGTGCAAACAGACTTTGCACAGGGTTTTCTGACACAACCATTCTTTACTTTCAGGTGCTTATTAAAAGAGCTGTGCACATTTACACCAATTAGCAGATGCACCTACATTTATTTTCCCCCACCTCAGTTCCCCTACCCCCTGCTGCTCTGCAGCACCCTTTCAGAGCCCTAGGGTCTTTCAGAGCTTTTCCTCAGAATCAGCTGGCTTTTTCTTCCTTCCTAGATCAGTTTGCTGCCTCTGACACTGATGAGTCCCTCCAATAAAACAGAAATCTCTCCCTGAAAGAAACCCAATTGGCTCCTCTCTCTCATTTATTCTAGTGACTCCACAGTCTCTCCTGCTTCTTTCTCCTCTGACTCTCTCTGTTTTTTGGTCTTGTCATTATTGTGTATCTCTCCTGTTTGGGAGTCTTCCATTTTCATATTCCTATAGACAGTAAAACCACCCGTTACTTTTCTTAATAGCAGTGCCATTTACCAAAATCTTCAATCTCTCCATGAATAGGCATATCTCATCCACTGACACCAGACAGGCAACTTTTGTTCTGCAGTGACTAGTAATTGAAAATTTACTTTACAGTTGATATAGTCTTTGAGCACCAATATTTTGGAAATGATATAAAAATGAATCACGCTTTCTTTTGTCTAGCATATTCAATACATTTTGGTAGTTTCAATTTAAAAGGTGCTGAACCTGTTTTTCTTTAGAATGAGCATTGCTCAAATAACAGCAGTTTCATCTGCCTCATTTCTAGCATTGAGGAGAATGTTCCACTACCTACTGTATTACAGATTCTTGTGGATTTTCTCCAGCAGCCACTTATGACAACTGCAAGCTTGTTTTACCCTGGGGATATATATGTATGTGGCCAGTTGCTTCAGGTCATATTCCTTCCAAATGGAAGTCAGCTTGACAGCTGTTAATTTGCACTTGCCCATTCCATGTGTTGTTTTGCTCTAATTATTGGTCACTGTATGGAACAGGTGACAAATACCCACATGAGAACCCTTTAAATCACTAGATGTACGATCATTAGGAAAACAGACAGACAGGGTCATTAAATACTAGTTTTCTCTCCAGCCCCAAACAGAAACAGATTTTAGCCAGTTTTGACATCTATTGGAAAGGGATGGAAAGAGGTGACAGTACCTTACTGTTTATGAAGCTAGCTTCCCATTCTGAAAGTGTCCTAGTTTCAGGGAAAAAAATACAATTGTTCTAAGACCAGATGCAGACTCTGGTTTATCTAATGATTTTGTCACAAGGTTCGATTAGGTGTTCTTTCCTAAGTAAAACTAAATGTGCCTACCAAAATATTTCCTCTGACCTTCAGCTACTACAACTATATAAAATTAAAGCAGGCAAAAAAATTTTCCTTTCGGAGCAAGAGAGTACTTGCTGAACAAGGATGGTAGAACACCATTATAGTGAGCTTCCCTTCTACTGAAGTGTGGCGTGGCAGAGGATGTTTAATTGAAGTCTGTTTTCTCAGACTCCCAGGGCCTAATTTGGATCTTAATTTGGGCCAGATTCTCTAAGGACATAAGCAGAAGACTTGTTTTGTTCCTGGGAGTAGTGAGTAACTCTTGAATTTTTGCAAGATTATAGACCTATCTGTAGTGAAAACTATGAATAATTTAGTTGATCTCAGTGGAGCTGCGTTAGTGAAAACAAAAAAAGATTCAGCATCTTGGAGTCTGGGTGAAATTACTGCTTTTAGACCTGTGCGAGCTGAAGATATTACAACATGCTATTTGAGTGATGTCTTGTAAAGCATGCTAAAACAATAACACAGGCACAACACACAGAAATAGAGTGGTTGCCATAGGACATGCTTTACTAAGACTTAATCTGAACTTAAACTCACCTCTAAATAATATCCCACTTTTTTTTATTTTTGCCTTTTAAAAATAGGTGTAAGTGCAACCTTCATGCTACTGGCTGTAAAGAAGAAAACAAAAGACTACTTTGTGAATGTGAGCATAACACAACTGGCCCAGACTGTGGAAAATGCAAGAAGAATTACCAGGGCCGACCGTGGAGCCCTGGTTCTTATCTGCCTATACCTAAGGGCACTGCTAATATCTGTAAGTAGTCCTGTATAATAAGGATATTTCATTATTAGAATTCTGCCCAGTATCATGACTCTGAAGGAAGATAATGCTGGCAAAAGTTTGTCATTTCTTTATGACCCAGTGCATGTAATTTGACAAGGTGTCAAATAGTGTTAGTTGTAAGTATACATAATCTGTGCTCTTACATGGTTGTAAATAACTTGCATGAGAACTGCATGTTTGTATCCATAGACAAATCCCTCGACACTGCACAGAAAGGGCTAAGGAATGAAAAAATTAGGACCCTTCACATAAAAAGCACACTCAGAGGAGAGAAACCAGTGGGAATATCTGCAGTACTGCTCCAGCCATGGCGCCCTCAGCTCTCCATTAATACATCCTTATTGCTTCGAGATTCAAAACAACCTCAGCTCAACATGTAAGATGAGGTCCTTGCTCATTTTTGTCCCTTTAAGAAAGTTAAAAAATCTCAGACCAAATTTTTCCAATTAATGACTAAAGGTCTAAAGATTGGTAAAGGAAGTTTTTACGTGATGTTGACCTGCAGTTCAGATTCACATGCACTCTTTTAGATCACTGTAAGTGTTGAAGGGATAAAGTGAGGGCAAAACCTGAGTTTTTATATCTGCTTGTTTACAGCTAATAGCCATTCAACAACACACATACTCACTATTCCAGCACCGTTTCATATCATCCAAAGGAAGTTACTGACAGCTGCATTTCCTGGTCCTGGACAGGATTGGGTCAAAAAGAACATGGTGCTGAAAGAGAGGGCACAAAGACAAGTATGCGCATCAGTTCTTCCTTTCATGCATGTATGAAATACACAATGATTCAGAATCCTCCTGAACTGAGTAACAGACTTAAATTCCTTTGAAGAAAGGATTGAAGATGAGGATAAATCACCAAACCTTTTGACAGAAGTTACTAGCTTCTTTTAAAAAAAGAGTCCACAGTTTTGCCCTGATTAAAAGCAAAACATTCATTTGAGAATATTAGAATTCACTGAAAAGTTATTTGGGAGGGACAGAGCTACGTACTGCAGTTGAATGAAAAGGTTAAAACCAGGAGCAATGTGCAATGCTCAGAATGTTATCTAAGACTTCAAAGCAGCAGCTGTGAAGAATCAAAACTCAAAAATGAATATCACAGGAAGCAGGACCTTATCAAGTTAAATGTGAGAGTAATAGACCAAGTAACAAACTGTGAAGTGTGGGGGCATGAAATTATGATAAAATTCTTACTGAGCAGAAAAAAATGAACTTCCAAAAAGCAGGGGAAAAACATTTTGTAAGAGTATTCACTTTTTCGCATGTTATAAAAAGTGAGTGTGGCTCACAGAATTAATACTTGAAAGCTATGTTTGGAAAAAATGGTAAGATTTACCAGGTTGGTTTTATTTATATATTTTATATATATATACACACACACACACACACATATATAATGCAGTTGCTATCCCAGCAATCGTCTAAACTAGTGACAAGATACATCTGAACATGAAAATGGGGATCTTTCTAAATGCAGCTTGCTATGTCAGTTACATCATTTCTAATGAGTTGAGCACACACCAGACAGAACAGTGGAATTAGCGCCCACCGAAAGGATGCCTGAAGCTTGTTAAGACAACTTTCAACATTATTGAATTCCATCAGATATACAGTTCCATCAAAAGCAAAATGTTTTGCAAGTAATAGGCAGTCTTTTCTGGTTTTTTATTATTGTTATTACTATTATCATGATAGTATCATGAAAACATAACCTTATTTGAGCTGACGAGTGCTCCACTTACTTACCCTTAAATCCTGA